AGTCTCAGGCTTATCAACATAAGTGGGATGCGGCGGCGAGCCGTCCTCGTTTTCTTTGTGATAGTGCAGCTCTGCAAGCACGTCTCTCTTCAATGCAAGTGGTGATGTGATGCTCTGGGTTGGTTGATTTTGTGTCGAACCAAAATATGGTGGACCCTCGGAAGGGGCAAGATGTTGAACGACGGTCGTGGCCATTGGGCTGGTAGATCCAAATACAGTAGATATGGGAATGAATATCTGATGAATCTTGAGGCTGGTGCAAAGCCACAACATCTGGCAGAAGCAGGGGTCTCTTGTGAATATATACCCCAGATCTACATGGTCCCCGCAAGCACGCAATTCTCGTCCGACAATTAGTGTCTTTGGATTCATAAGCCGCCCAACGAAAATGATCTCCGTCCATTACCAATTTCTCCGCACATGTTCCAGGTCTACCAGGTAGACACAGATACTGGTTACACGTGATCTTGAAACGATTTCAAATCAGCCCGAGGCTCAAAGGAGGCCAGTGGATTAGTCCGCCGGGGTAGCAGATGCGTCGTACGACAAAGAAGACGGAGCGATCATCCGAGTGATTAATAATAATGATCTTGCTCATCCTCGCTTAAGGTCGACGCGCGGTTATTTATCGAAGATATTTTATCCACAGAGTAATGTAGGCTATGAAATAAATTGAGTATCCGTTTTGACGACACAGGGATTTCGAATATCAAGGCTCGCGTGAAATAGTTCTCATTAGTAGAATAATTCTACATGGTAACTCCAACTAAACGGCTTTGAACGCCAGTACGGCTTCACACATCTAGTTCTCAGTCTATTGGAGTATGAACAAGTTTGGTAATCGTTGTCCCATCGCCAAGCACCTCTTCCTTCTCTTCAATCCTGTAGCCTCTCCAAAGTGGGACCAAAACGGTCCAGACGTACCAGTAAACCACGCCGGCACCCAAGCTTGTATAGTTGATCAGCAGTTAGCCACACATGAGAGGGGCGTAAGGTAGGAACGAACATGCTGACGCCAACGATCGCGTATGTTGCATAGAATAAGCCGTTAGACGGCTTAACTTTGGGTGGAAAGAATGGTGCGGCTAGCAAAGCCAGACTTAGGCTGATTCTTAGAATCACAGCGGGGACCCAAGCCTTGAATGGTCTCTTGAGATCGGGTCGCTTGAACCTTAACCATAGAAGGCCGCCTCCCACTGCCAATGCCATGAACTGCCCTGGATACCCCTCAACCTCTAGAATGAAGGAGTAGACTTCGCCAGAAGGAGGAAGCGCAATGACTAGGAATGACGGGATATAGTGAACCAAGAGACCACCTAAAGGTGAGTTGAACGGCTTTGTGGATGAAAGAATATCGGAGAAGGGGAGGAATCCTTGCCGAGCAATCTCTTGCTTCAGTCGAGCCTAATAATAGTTAGCAATGATCAACAGTTTCAGTCGATCGTCCTAACCTGAGCGAATGCGACCACAAGAACATTTCCTCCAGCACTCAGTGCAACAGCAAGTGGTAGGATGGTTCGGCCAACACCTTGCCCAAATATTCTTTCAAAGAACAACGCTGCAATCAACTCGCCGCTTTGCTTGATTTCATCAATGGGGACGACGAGAAAGTACGCTACGTTGATGAGTAGGTACATTCCACACGCTGTCGTCAATGCTGCCACAGTCACAGACCGCAGCGTGCGAACCGGGTCTTTCACCTCGTTGAGAACAAGGTTGGCGTTGTCGAGGCCGGCATAAGAGTAGAACACTTTAAACAATGAGGTGGATATAATACCCCAGTTCCAATTCGTGCCTTCCCACAGGTTCTCCCAGGAGATGATCGGCATCGTCGTTTGAGCCGATTCTGTCGATGGCGCAAAGAGCAGAACATAGAACCCACAGACAATCATGAGCACGACGAGGCCCACCTTCACCCAGCCCAAGAAGTTCTGAAGCTTGATCCCCAGTCTAGGTACACATCCGTGGATGAAGGTGACCGTCGTAAGCAGCCCAACGGCGAGCGCTTTGCGAAGTAAACCGCTTGGGTTGTCACCTCCCAAAGCAAACAAAAGATATTCGCTGAAGACAATACAGTTACTGGCGGTAAATCCTAGCAGAACGACGTGAATGGCGATGAGGGTTGATGCCAAAAATCGCGGTCGACGATAAGTGAATTCCAAGTATACCTTATCCCCGCCGGACCGCGGTAGCATCGACCCAAACTCCAAGGATATCATCAGCCCGCAGGCTGCGATGAGGGCTCCGACGAGCCAAAGTAAAAGAGACAGACCAGGACTGCCCACAGATCGGAGGATTGCACCTGGAGTGGCAAATATGCCGCTTCCGATCACCCTTGAGATGACCAGAATGTAGGCGCTCTGCCAGGTGAGCGTGCGTCCGAGAGTCGAAGCTTCCGGGAGGACATCGTCTTCAATTGATCTCGATGGGTGTATGTTTCCCGTTGCGAGTTCTGCCTCCGAGATCGAGGGCTTCCCCGACGAAACCGAGTTCTTAGGAGCGCTAGCTGACGAGACAGGCGATGGAGGTGGCGGCGTTATCGACAGCAGAGGCCGTAGCTCGGGGTCGTCGAGGGCACTCATCATGGGGAACTGGGGAACGGGAGCCAGAGCAGTTTCTAGAAGTTGTTCCTTCGAGATAACCGTGAAAAATAATTTGTTGGCGAGGAACTGAACATGCGCAACGGCGAGATTTACACCCTGTTATCGAAATGATATCGCGAGCGGCAGCACATGGTTGGAGTCGGGCGGGTTATCATGCCGTCTGAAGAATGAGATAATTGGAGTGTAGGCGACAAGGATGTGCAATGCGGCCTTATGTAAAGCTTACACGCAGGGCAGCAAAGTGATCTAAGGGAGGGTCAGCGGCAAACGACACATGTCCCGGACGTCTGTTGATTGATAAGAATGTGGATGCAACAACTCTTCGATTAAGTCCCGTGAGGTGTGTCTCGAATGGCGCAATATTGTTTCAAGAATGTAAGTTTGGGAGGGCTAGCACAGAGAATGCCCGATTGTATTGGGGCGCGGATTCGCACGCCATCATGGCGCAAGGTGACGAGACATGGGTGCGGCCTTCTTACCTCCTCGATATTGCCTGGCCTGTTTCGACACCTGTTGTAGGTGCCGGACTGCCGCCCGTGCTATGGCCCGCCGTGTCCGTGCTACCGCGGAACTTCGGAAGCCCCCACTTCGGCCGAACTCTTCACATGCGTGCTCAACGAGAAGAGCCGTTACATCCTGTTGTCCTCACCACAGATATGTTATCTGAGTTTGAAGATGTGAATGTCGCGCGAACTATGACTCTTCTAGGAGTTGTACTGCCGAGTTTCAGGGAACATCGTGCTTGAGTTCTCTTAAACCCCGCAGCAGCTCCAAATCAACCCCGTAAACCGATTGCCGAACCTACCGAAGATCGTTCACAGAAATTGGCCGAGGCAACAAAACGACGTCGCATTAGGCCGAATGAAAGACTTTTTCCTAATAATTTTACTAACTACTGATTGGGTTAAATACAGACTTTGTAGGAACAACGCAAATACCGTCGCATCCTTGCTGACAATGCGAAATAAACCCATAATTTCTAGGGTCCTCGTCGTGCCTCGGCCCCTGATTGACAAGGCCACCTACTTTTACTGTGTCTGCGCGGCTATTTCCTGTGTTCTTAAGTACCCCTACCTTATCGAAGACCATAGTAGCGACGATGAAGATAGTAGCGATGCCGACGACGACGGTGAGATATAGCCACAGGAAAAGTAGTCGCTCTACCACAGGCGATTGACCCCCATTCACTTCTCGTGTGATGTTTCTGCTATGCCAAGCTTCCCAACGGCCTGAATGAAAGTCACAATATCTTGGTCGTAATTCTCATCAGACTCCGATCCAACGAGTCTAGGTATTAATAGCTCGACAGTGACAAGCCCAGCTTCTCCGCAGAACCAGTCTGGAAACTGACACGGAGTTCCCGTTGCCCCGTAAGACACAAGCACGCCAATGAGCTCAACCGTGTTCTCGTTAACCAATTTGAGATGCCTAGCAATTTCTCCCACTTGAGCATGGTTGTCCCGGTGCTGTTTTAGCAAGAAGGTTGTTTCTGGCCGAAAGTACCTTTGCTTGGCGACGTCCAGAGCAGAGACTCCATCACTGTTTCGTATCAGAGGATCGGCGCCTGTTTCCAAAAGCCGTTTGACTGACTTGTATGCTCCCACCAAACTAGCCATATAAATCGGAGCCATCGCAAGAGGAAAGAAAACATCGTTGACTTGGTGTGGAGCATCATATTTCTCAAGCAACTGGGCGAGTATTATGTCAGACATGTCGTGGTGCTTGTGTGGAAAGCCAGCCTCGGTAATACTACACAAGGCTAGGTGCAAAGCTGAAGCTGGTACCTCGGGAGAGAAAGCAATTAAGAATCCGTCTGAGCCCCCTTTATCGGGTAGGTTTAAGACAAACTTGATCCTTTCTGCCGCATTCCTGGTTTGCATACGGATCAACCACCCTAGGAATGTCCTATGACTACGGGCCACCCTGTGGTTCTCAGCACCTTGATCGTATAGATACCGAGCTACCGTCAAGTTACCGGAGTAAACGGCCGTCTCGAATGGTGTTCTGTCCAGGGATGGCGAGGTACCGTCAATGGGAACTCCCGTTTCCAAGATGCTGCGTACGGTGCAAATATCGTCTGACTCCTTGGCGGCTCTCACCAGAGAACTGTCTCCCCAGCGACCTAGAATTGTCGTACTGGCTCCGCCGTCCAGCAGTGGTTCGACCATTTCGTGATCACGATGATTGATGGCCATAAAAAGAGCAGTTTCTCCACCAAAACCAACATCGATCTCCGCATCAAATCCACAATCCAGACCAGCAAGCATAACGTCAGCTGCACATTGATGAAATGCAACAGCATAAACGGCGGGCATTTTGGTACTGCCTACTTCCAAAACAGCATCCGTGGGAGCTCCGTGGCCGACTAGTAGAGAAATAGTGTCTCTCGTCTCATCCTCAAAATTCAGACCATGTCGTAGGAGCCGTGACCAACGGGAACTTCCTTGTAAAGGCCCAAAGAGGGGTCGAATGACTACCTCCTTTCCTTGGACCATCGGCACCGTGTTCAACTCCTTCACTGGCCCCTGGGCTTTGTAGAATCCGACAGAGAATTGCCGAATGACACATGTAAGATGCCATCTGCAAGGAATCCAATGGCACCGAGTCGCCGACCTTGCAATCTGCACGGAACAGAGGGTCTGAACCAACAGCTAGCAGTGCATCAACTGCTGCCAGATTCTTCGCCGCGACTGCCCAGTGCAACGGAGTCCATGCCTTCGTGGCATTGGCAGGTCGAGGTTGGAAATTTCTCAAGTACTCATCCCGCACATACGTAACTGCAAGTGCGTTCGGATTTCCACCCTGCTTGTGCAGCAGGTGCGCTATAGGACCCGCGTCGGAATCGGGAAGAACACAGAGCCAATGCAACGGACAGATACCCGAGGTGTCTCCTATGCTGGCATCTGCTTGCTTTTTGACCAGCAGCTTGACGATATCCACTCGGGCAAGTCTACATGCAATCAGCAGTGGACTTTCACCAGCTTTTGAGACTGGCTGGTTGAGCATCTGGGGATTATTCCCGATGAGCTCTTCAACCAAATCACTCCTTCCGTGGAAAATGGCCGATACCAGTGACTGCGATGTGGAAAGTTGTCCCGCACATTGCACGTCAATGAATGCCTGCTGTGACTGAGGAAGACCAAAGCCCTCGGATTCCAAACACTTCGTCTGGCTTACTTCCTGAGCTGATCTCCATGACGAAACTGATGCCGCCTTCAGTTTTTTGAGCGCCGTGTCACTGCCTAATATAGCGGTTCTTTTGAGCCAGTCGACCCACATGCCCAAAGATACGGTAGCATCTGGGGCCCCTTGATGGTCGAAAATGTTTATGAGCATTGCCTGTGCTTGCTCGTGGCCCCATTTCGCGGCACGAAGTAGGGAGTCATGAGCCATGTTAATGTCGAAACGAACTCCAACACCATTGACGTGAGCCACAGCAATGCTGAATGCAGCAGCAGCTCTTAGGTTGTCGTCGGTGGAGGTGGAGCAGATGGACTCCAAACTCTGAACGAGGTCTTTCTGGATGCGCGTGGGCATCTTTTGGTAAATACCGGCGGTATCCCGCAGCTTGACATGCTTCAGCACACTAGTCTATTTTTGGTGACAAAGTAGAGATTCGGGCACTTACGTCGGGGATGAAGTCTAAGCCACGTCGAAAGTTGAGTATGTCTTGGACTTTGTTTGCTCTCAACATCAGTGTCTGCTGATATGCCCTTGGCTACTCGGCTTACATTACTTGCTCGGAGTTTACCTCCGATAATTCCTCTAGACCACAACCTGAGTCCGGTGTCAAACCTGTCAGGTCGACTAAAAACGAGACGAAAGACTTGACAGAGACCTCAGTGCCCTGTTGCTGATCTTGGGCTCCACCACATGCCTGAGCAAGGCCGTCCATAACCCGCTTTGCAATGTGATCATAAGGAGAATCCCTAAAGTTATCGCCCTGCAAAGCTGTCTTGTTTATAAGGAGAAGCATCTGGACGACTTGTGCAGTAGTATCGTAGAGTCTCTTGGCATCGATGGCCAGCATTTTGACCGTACCAGAGCCTGGCGGGGGATTTCCTATGACGCTTTCCGCGAGCTTCAGACAAACGGTAGAAAACATATCCACCGGTGTCCTCTGAATGAGAGGAGCTCCAGAAGTGAATTCCCGAAGTGAATCGAGTGCTTGTTGTACCGAGGAGTCACCCCCAGATTCCGAAGGGGCAGATTCGAAGGAGCTTCCTGCATGTCTCAAATCTTCGAGTAGACTCAAGATCCGATCCATGGAATGCAATCGGTCGCTGGGAGATGCTTGCAAGCTGTAGCGCCATGTTTTACAGAGTATCATCAAAGGTAGATCGTCATTTTGATGGCTAATTAGTACGCGTAAGGGTATGAGTGTTGACATGATACCGGAGGACTTCATCTTTCGTAGATTACTCTAGTCCTTCGGTAGGAAAGTTGTCTTAGAAGGCTGAACCTGATTCGAAGATGGTAAGCAAAGTGAGGCCATAGCAGTAAATATCCAGCTGCTTCAAGTAGGGTGGACGAATTTTCTCTCCGTATGACTCAGGAGCACAGAAGAACTCCGAGTGTCCGATAATATGGGTATCACCACTGGAGAGTGAAAATCCAAAATCGGAAAGTTTGACGATGAAGCTCCTGGTTTCATGCCTGCAGACCAGAAGGTTGGAAGGCTTCACGTCGCCGTGAATAATACCGCAATCATGCAGCGCCTTGAGGCCTTGAGCAGTGTCGATAGCAATTTGAATTTGGTCAACAAATGATGAACCGCCGCCCTGTTCCTGGAATGTTTTCAGGCTTCCGTGCTCTGCATATTCAAGGACCAGAGCGGGCATTATGCGTGGTACGCCGGGCAAGGGCTCCCCAGTGTCATGATAAATGACAGCCAACAGTTCAATGATATTGTCGTGTCCTTTCAAAGGCGGGTGGCGTAGAATCTGCTGCTCAGTGGCCGCGTCCGCGAATGCACCGCTGTCGCCTTGTGCTGTTGCGAAGCTGGCTTTGGGATGCTTGACAATGACGAACTCCCGCCCTTTAAGAATGCCCTCCCCCAGGCCGCTCAAGAATGATGAAGTTTTGACTTTTCTGACATCGAAAGACCCGCCACCGATTGTTACATCTTCAAATGTAGGGAGAAGATTGGTGATGAATGGGTGTAGGCCCAGATCGGTGTCTCTCCACTGAGGCAAACACTCAGAAATCCGGCAAAGTGAGGGCATCTCGAGCTTCCACCAATATTGTCGGCATTGCTCCCGACGATCGAGTCACTTATGGGGCTTGGAACGGGTGCTTTCTGCCGAAATGTCGGAAGACCACTCTGGGAAAAGTCCATACTTCGTAGTCTGCAATACTTTGTTTGGCCAGAGTGCTTGGCTGAGCACCGGAAAATGACAGCGGTTCTTAAAGTGCAGCTGGGGAACGGCAGCCTGCAGGTGGTTTTCAGCTCCTGGCTCCGCACCACCCGAGCTGAACACAAACACGTCATATGATCTCTGTGATTGAAGAAAACATGATCCGATAGGCCAAGCGAAGGATGAAACCCCCCCCCCCCCCCCCCCCCCCCCGGCAACTTGTGCATATACGGACGCGCAACAATCTTTGAGGAAATCACATTTTCCCTCAAGCACAATACTCCTCACAATGTCCACTGAATTCCAGATTGGCGTTGCGGGCCTCGGTATTGGGGCCTTCAGCGGTATTCTCGATGTTCTGTCATCTTGCAATAAGCTATACGGGATGTGGCGAGCTATGCGCGGTCTCGACAGCCATTTGAACATCCTTCGCGCAAAACTCCTATTGCAACATGCCCTCTTGGAACAGTGGCAGCGGGACTGGCTCATATTTCCAGTCACTCCACGCCAGACCCAAAATGCCAGGAGGCAAAGTTTGGTTAAACTTCACGAGCTTGCAATCATCGAGACGTTGAACGCGACTCACTCCTTGCTGTAGGATCTCGAACCCCTCCTGCATGCTACATCACAGAATGAGAAGATGAAAACAGGAATGATTGCTACTGCGAATCGAATGGTATGGGCAAGCAGCAAAGCCTTAGACAGCCAGAAGACTTTGGACCAACTTGAATCTCTGCTGGGTGGTCTTTACCGACTCCTTCCACCCCGAATCCCGAACACTGAGGCATCGCAAGTCATCCTTTCCATCGAGGATATTACCGACGACATGGGAACCGCGGAAACGTTTTCAAGCACTGAAACTTCAAACTTACAACTCGCAGGCCCTACATCCATTCTTGAATCCTCGATACTGCAAAAGGCTATCAGTTTTTGGAATCTCAATACTGAGCTCGAAGAAGACCTCAACAACCGTATCCGCAATTTCATGCACCAATGATGAATAAAGAACCTTGCCATCAAGGGGTCGCGGATTCAAGTCAAGCGAAATGATGATATATCAGCTAGCTTGCGAAGCTTTGGAATTCGCGATGGGATGGAGTCCGTCATCATCGAATGGAAAACATACGACGCTAGCTGGCAGGGCCAGAAAGGCATCGCTCTCACTGGCAGAATTCTCAACATCTCTCTTCTTCTCAACTCCGAAACCAAGCCAGTGGAACTTCTAACGATGAAGAGCCTTGGATTCTTTGATGACCCGCAACGGAACGCATACGGATTCGTATTCCGTTTACCCCCCCAAGAGCACTTCGTCTTCGATCGAAGCCCAGATGCTTTCCCTGAAAGCGCTACTGGACACGCCAAGTCCAAAAAACCTGCCGACATTGGAAGATCGATATATTGCTGCTTATGCACTTGCACTGTCGCTTTCGGTCATTCACGGAGTGTCGTGGCTTCATAAAAGCATACGAAGTCACAACGTGTTGTTTCCTATCTCAGCCAGTGGGCGGCCTATTTGGTCTCGACCTTACATCGTAGGCTTTGAGTCTTCCAGGCCCGACAGCGTTGATGAATCATCAGAGAAGCCTGAAAAAAGCGCCAGGTTCAATTTTTATAGACATCCAAAAGCGCAAGGAACGCCTGGCGAGGGATATCAGGGAGCATTCAATATCTATAGCTTGGGTGTCAAACTGGCTGAGCTTGCGATGTGGCGCCCGATATGGAAAATGTATAAAGATGGTATGGGATCCGAAACATTCCAGAAAGCATTGGTCAGTAAGGTACATGATTGGGTTGCGCACTTGATGGGCTCACAGTATTCAAACGCGACGCTCACATGCTTGGGAGAAAACATTGAGAATGGCCAAGACCGAACTGTCCAGTCATTTTACATCAATGTTGTGGAAGTGCTGGGGCGTGTTGTAGCTGAAACTATATGAGGTAAGTACCCAATTTTTGAGCTGTTTCATATATACCGATCCAAGCAGGCAAATTGAGCCGTAGTGTCAACTCCAGTGGAGGCTGGCAGGCTTGAAGGATATGTTACTCGCCGGACACCGGACGGTGCAGCGTATGATTTGTGGGGCCGAAACGCCAGGTTGGATTCCCATAACCGCCCGGTAGACTCAGGTTATCGTCCCAACCCTGATAGGCGATGTATTGTATTGAGATGCAAACTGTGATGATCCTTGTGTCAGTGAGGTTGATATTTTCGGACCGACAACCCTGACATTTATCATGGGCTTGTGTGCTGAAAGTTGAGACAAACGCGGACTCGGAACTACTGTTACGCGCTACCTACTTCAATACATCTCGGGGTGGGAGAGTTGTTGATCGTGAGTTGGCAAGATACATGAATAGCATATTTAATGAGCAGCTTCCTAAAGCTATTGTATCGTAGTATATAACGCAAGAGCAAACTAGTCTCATGCATGCACATCCCATGCAGGCCACATCAAATGACTTTGTCGGGCGTCTCTGGAGAGGATGACACAACACCCGCCTCCGTGTGATCGATCGGGTGACCTTTCTTCGCTGCACGAACCAAGGCCGGATTCTCAGCCTTGAGCTCAGCAAATTTCTTCTCTGCGTCCCAGTTCCAGATGCTGTCGCTGGCAAAAACGAGATCCATCTCCTCCAAAGTGCGCTGGTTGGACTCTGGATATAGTGCCCAAACGATAACGATGCAGAGAACATTAACGGCGCCGAAGAGGTAGAGGGTTTTCTCGTTAAGTTTCTCAAAGATCGTTGGAAGAAGCAGTACCTAGGTTGATCGTCAATAAGTAGACAAGGTGAGTAGTGTTTCTTGAGGATGCTAACCGTCCAACCATTTCCGATAGACCACCCAACAACACCCCAAGCATTACCCTTAGCGCGGACTTGAAGCGGGAATATTTCGGCCGGATAGAGCCAAGGAACAGTAAGCCTTCAAGAGGTGAATGTAAGTATGGACAACTCAAATAAGATGCGGGTTTGACTGACCATGTTGCACCGAAAATGGCAGTGTATAAGAAGACGAAGAACGTTGCAGCGCCACCGAGCCCAGAACGATTCCCTGGGTCGGCGTTCAACGTTGCGCGAGCTAATCCGCCAGCACAAAACATGCATATTCCTTGCCCGGCTGCGCCCCAGTACAAAGTCCATCGCCGACCAATGCGATCAAGAGTGAATACACAAATCAGCGTCGCGAACTACCATCGATTAGTCAGTTGAAACAAAACGAACAGGAAATGAACAGATTGTTCACATACCATATAAGTAATGTTGTTGACACCACTAACCCAAAGGCGCTGTTCAGAGCTTATACCGGCAATGGTAAAGATCGTAGGCCCATAGATTGTGATGCCGGCAATGCCAACCCACTCCTGAAGAATCTGCAGCCAAACCACAAGCTGCACGCGACGAGCCGTGTGCAACTTTCCGGAGCCCCAGCCAAAGAACATCGCAATATAGCTCTGCTGCTTGGCAGTATCATGTTCCAAAGCTTTGATGTTGATGATATCCTGAAGTTCGGCCTCGGCGAGCTCACCGTCTTCACCTTCATTACCACGGAGTCTCCCAAGAATAAAACGGGCCTCTTCCTCACGCCCCACTTTCACGAGCCATCGTGGCGACTCGGGCATGAACCATATCATGAGAAATAGAGCAACCAAAGGGACAATCTGAAACGCAATCG